ACAGTTTTCGTCTGAAACCTCCAAATATCCAAACGGGGCTTGTGGCGTTAGGAATCAGCAACCTAACACACACAAAAACGTAAGGGTAAGAAGAACGAAAATCGCAAGATGAAAAAGTCAAATATGGAAACACATCCCTGGGTGGAAATCCACACCTCTGATAAAGGGAGCCCCATCGAATACGGGAAGCAATGTTACGAAGAGTACGGAAGACCCATGCTTATCAAAGCTCAACCAAAAATCAAAAGGAAGAAAAGATAGAACATTCATATGTGCAACGCGGAATATACAACGATAGAACAAAAAGGCGGCGGAAGTGATCAAGGAGTTTAGAGAAAGCAACATCGACATACTAGTAATAATAGAAACCAAAAAGAAAGGAAATTGAACGGAAACTATAGAAGACCATATCCACTACTGGAGAGGAGTTATTAAGGAATGTAAAGCAAAGGCAGGAGTGGTAATACTAATCAAAAATAAGTGGAAGAATAGGGTTAGAACATGGGAGCCAATCAACGAGAGGATTATTAAAGTGCATTTAGACATATACGGTAAAGAGACAGTGATACTCGGAGTATATGCACCGACAGATGATTCGCCGAGAGTAGAAAAAGTCTCACAGAACAACTTCAACACCAAATAGAGTTAGTCAAGAAGAATGTGGAGATAATTATATCAGGAGAACTTAACGGCAGAACCGTAAGGAAAGAAAACGATAAAGTAGTGGGGAGATTTGGAGAGGATGAACAAAACGATAGCGGAAAACGTCTGATTGAAATATGCGAACTAAACAACCTAAAAATCACCAACGGATTCTTCAGACATAAAAATATTCATAAATATACATGGACGCAAGAAACACGAAAGCTGAAATCGATAATAGACTATATAATAGCCAAACAAGATACCACAATAAAAATAAAATGTGTGAGAGTCAGAAGAGGAGCAGAATGTGGAACTTACCAAATACTACTGACAGCAAAAATGAGCATTAATCGGAAACATAACATAACATAACTCTACTGAAGAACCGTTAAACACTATAAGAGAAAAACAGTACAATATAAAACTACTCCAAGAACAATCGATAAGAGAACTATACAAACAACGTCTAGACCAAAAATTAATAGAATTTAGATACGGCAACATCGAAGAAATATACGAGCGTATAAAGGATAGTATAAAACAAGCTTCATTCGAAGCCTTTGGAGAGAAAGAACATATAACAAATAAACAGCACTATTATGATATAAATGAACCAACAACAAAAATAATTGAAGAAAAAAAGCAACTATGCAGAAAATGGCTGACTACAAACAACGAAGTTTATAAAAAATATAGAAATAAAGATAGAGAAGTGAAAAAACAAAATATCACAACAAAATAATGAAGAATGGGAAAGAACCTGCTTAAATATTGAAACATACATAGGAGGTACAAAAACTTCGGAGTCATGGAAAGTACTGAGAGGATTGAAACAAAACTCAAAAGAAAAAATGTAACTGGGAAATATACAGGACAAAGAATGGAAGGACTATTACAAGGAACTATTAACAGAACAAAGACCACAATTCATTGAAAAAAAAAAACAGATGAAGACGAAGTAGGTCCCCACAACAAGAAATAGAAATTACAGATAGAGAAATAAGAACGGCCATAAAAGCAATCAAAAATAAGAAAGCACAGGGACGTGGAGGCATCTCACTTGAGCTTATAAAATACGGTTCAAAAAAATTACACTGGATGATAAAATGGATATTTCAGAAAGCCATAAATGTATAACAGCTCCCAAAGGAATGGACGGAGGCATATATGACATATATATTTAAGAAAGGAGATAGAAAACGATGCAAAAACTACAGGGGAATAAGCGCAATATCATCAATAGGAAGATTATATGGGAAGATACTGCAAGAAAATAGATAGAAAAAGAGTGATAAAACGCAAAATCGAGGATAATCAGGCAAGCTTGACAGCAGTAAGATCATGCATAGACCACATATACACACTGGAACAACTGTTAGAAAAGAAAAAAGCAAAAATAAAGATATACATTTGGCATCTGTGGACCTGAAAAAGGCGTATGACTCTGTAACAAGATCAGAACTATGGGAGGCAATATACAAATTAGAAATACAGATGGAACTCATAAAAGCTACAAAAGATCTGTATAAAGAAAATAAAGTGTCCATTAAAATGGGAACAAGAATCATAGGAGACTTCACCACAACAAAAAGGCTCCTGCAGTGTTGTTCCACATCTCCAGCCCTATTCAAAATATACTTAGAGAATGCCTTGAATGGAAAAGAAAATACGAAGGCATGGGAGTACCGGTATGAAACCAATACCTATATACGTTAAGCTTTGCAGATGATCAAGTAGTGATTGCACAAGGCCAAGAAGACCTCAGTTACATGATAAAGAAACTACAAGAAAAATATACCAAGGCTGGTCTACATATGAACCTCGCAAAAACAGAGTACCTATCTACAAGAGAAGAAGACATAGAAGATCTACAGATGGACGACAACGTAACAATCAAAGGAAAGGATAAATTCAAATACTTGGGGTTTAAAAAAACATTTATAAAAAACTGACTTCATTTGCGGCAAAATTCAAAAAATGCATAGAAAAGCTGCACTCTCTACCTTTAAAACACATTTTATTTTTGCTAATAGTACACTCTGATCAAGAGATATCCAATTTTTACCGTTGATTTGATACAAATTATATTTAAAAGTGATTTCGCACGCATAACTGACATTCAAAATCGCTGGTCGCTTCAGGCGTTGTTTCTTAGAAAACGGTTCATTCTACATAAAAGGTGCTTATAAACGTGTTTATTTAAAATTATCTCAGCTACATTTTTTATTTGAAACATTTTTTTCTATGGTCTAGAGATTCTTTTATAAATATTTTTTTCCGATTATCCCGTATACTTGTATACTTGTTGGTATAATTTTTAGAGGTTGATTAGAATATTAGAGGCATTTCATATTTTTTAGAGATCAGTAGGTATTTCAGACACAAACAGTGGTTTCTATTTTCTACTATCCAAAGTAAATGCTGCCTACGTACTTGCGTAAGTACTCTGTAGTGGGAAACATTTATAAAAGTCTGCCTTTTTGTCTACGAGTTTTTTCTCAGCCCACAACTTTAATATAACAAACTTTTAGATAGAAACAACAAGATTATGCTAGAATTATGCTAGATGCATAATACACTGCCCTTTATGAGAACATAAAAAGAAAATTCTAAAAATGTAACAAAATAATAATAGAAACAGCAGAAAACTGCAGAAATGAAGGAATTGGAAGAAAAACATGACGACTTCAATATATATAAACTCGTTAAATAAGTGACAGGTCATACATACCTTGCAGGTTTAACAGTATTGTGAAGAACAATAAATTAATTACTGATCCCAAGGATCTACTTCAACATTCGAGAAACTACATACAGCAACTATACTTAGGCAACACTAGAAGAAACTCGTGAAAGTGAATTTAAAAGTGAACCCTTGATATCTAGGTAGTTGGATAACTGAAGATCTAGATCCAGACATAGAGATACATAGCAGGATTGAGCAAGCCAGAACCGTAATTACTAATATGAGAACCTTGCTGAGCAACAGCAGCCTTAACTTAACGCTTCGATATCGCTTTGTAAAATGTTACATTTATTTCATACTGCTATATGCTGTAGAAACCTAGACCATAAAGGCAAATGTGATGAACCGGAGGCCTTGAAAATGTGGGTATTTAGAAGACGACTTAAAATTCCCTGGACAGATCACACCACAAATGTCGAAGTATTAAATCGAATGTGCAGAGAACGAGAATTGCTGCAATAATAAAAAGAAGAAAAACTGCTTATCTGGGTCATATATTTCGAAATTCGAAGTATCAGTTCTTAAAACTTATTATGGAAGGGAAGATAGAAGGAAAACGGGGTATCGGAAGAAAGAAATACTCATGGCTTAAAAACATAAGGGATTGGATAAACCTCGATGCCCATGCACTCTTTAGAGCCACACAAGATCGAGAGGAGTATGCCAGAATTGTCGTCAAGATCCACTAATTGGATAGGGCACCATAAGAAGAATAATAATAGAAACTAAGAACAAAAAAACGTTGCATCGTAGTATAGAAGGATCCGACCAAATGCTTAAATGTAAGGAAAAGCTGTGATGAACATACTTGTTTAAATCTGCAAAATACTATAAATTTATAAGCTTGTCGATCTGATCGAAATCTACGATATTATATATGTATTTTTGCAAAACTCATTTCTTACCGTGTATTTATGTCCTAAGAGCACTATTTATATACCAAGTTTCAAAATTCTACAGATACTCTATCCCAATTAACTGTAACTTTAATGTGCTTTGACCTACTGCTCCCTATTCTCCTTTATTTATTTCTTGGTGCAAGTGGCATCTATGTGCCTAGTGTCGAGATTCTAGGACTTTTTCTTTAAGAAACTTTTACAATCAAGTATTTAAAGTATTTTTTTTTTAATTATCGCACAGATCAACAGAAAACAACACGATTTCAAAAAGGGCTTAGTAGGTCTTTAATAAGGAATCAATAAAAATGATCAATTTTATGATAATATTTGTAAAACTTAGCACAGCTCTGCTGATCTTATTATCTGTTTTAATCACTTAGCTTAAGTATACATGCAGTAAAAAGTTTTCCATATAAAAAATCCAAAAATTTTCATCATTTCTTTATTTGTTTAAACTGAAGACAAAGTTACGAAGTTCAGACTGATATACTCACTAATAAACGATCTAATTAAAAACAAAAATTGGATACAATAAGAAAATAACACTGTTAGTTTACTATACCTGATATTGCTTAAGTTAAGGGCTTTTAAAATTAAAACGAAACATCAATTTATTATATTAATTCTTAAAAAAAGTTGGGTACCATCTATTGATGCACAATACACTTCTCTCGACATCTTTGCACCAAAACGTCATATCTATTTTTTAGGTACACATCAGTAAAGAATATCTTCAACTGGAACCGATTGGTTTGGTGTTCGTGTTCTTCTTCGCTTTGATTTTGGTCATCCAATTCGTCGCTATGTTGTTCCATAGATTCGGTACCCTAGCACACATACTGGCTTCAACTGAACTCAACCTGTCTTGCACCAAAAAGGTAAGGGTTCTATTATTTCAAATTTACAGAAATGTAAAACAAAATTTATATAACTCTACTTACAAACGAATACATTTTTTGAGAACTTGTTTTATGAAATATGTTATACTTCTAGAAAGAAGAGATGTCTCCTAACGCTCTATTGGATAAACAAGCGGTAGAGATTGTCAAACAACTACAACGACTTCAAGGTATCGATGGAGATTACGACAACGACTCTGGCTCTGGTCCGGATCGAATAGGAAGAAGGAAGACCATACATAATATAGAAAAGGCTGCGCAGAAGAAGAGGCAAATCGGAACGCTGGACGTTGCATTTAAGAAGCGATTTGCGAAACTCAACGCCAATCCAGACGGAGGTTGGTTGACGTTTCTTATGATTTTTTGTCGTTCAAGATATTCTTAAGCCACAAATTTATGATTCATTAGAATCAAAGTTGTCTATTTGTAGATATAATTAATTATACCTTTTAATATTTGCTTTTTTTCACAAGACAGTAGACACATTTTGCCCTTAGTTTTGTCACTATATTTATTCTCTTTGTCTAGCTATACTAAGAGTGGATTTGGATTTACAGCCAAACACTCAGTAGATCAATGTTCTTCAGAAATAGTGAAGTTTTTTGTAACACCATCCGTTTTCAAGATAAAGGGTGTTAAAAAAAGTTTACACATTTTTTATGATTTTGCCGAAACTACTGGCAATATTGTAATGAAATTTTATACTAATATGTTTTGTAAGCTGATACATCCCGTCATCTTTTATATCTGACCCATAGAGGGCGCTAGTTATAGGTAATGGATTTTGACAAGAGCTATGACCTTGTAAATAACAGGTAAACTTGTGTATTGCATCGGCATGACTCATATCTCTTGTCAAAATGCATTACCTCTACAAGTTTACTTTCTTTTCTACCTGTTGGTTCATAATCCACCTGTCGCTGGCATATATTATGATTACTGTCTCGTACGCTCAAAATTCAGCTGTTCTTGACACATTTTTTGCTTTTCGTATTGAATTTAGTAACCCTTTGCTCCCCTTCATTAATCTTTTGTCTATCTCCTTTCCTTCTTTTCCTGTGTTCTTTATGGTTACTCCTAAATATTAAAATTTTGATACATTAAAAAAAATACAGCATGTTTTCATTAAATTTTATTAACTTTTTTGTTATTGTTATTTATGTAGTTTTATATTACCACAACATAATTACGTGTCACATCAACATTATATTCATTATATTTTCAGGTACTCCTGTTCTCAGCCGTCGTATGACCATGCGCCGAGAAACGATGAAAGCCTTAGAAGTCAGAATCAATTCCGTTATGGCAGAACGCAGAAAATCGCATATGCAAACGCTTGGCGCCAAGAACGATTTTGGGACCAATAACAACGTGCAAAGAACTCAAAGAAGTAGCGTGGCCAGCAGTATACCTGCTAAGGAAGTTTTTGAAAACGGCCACGTAAATCAAGCATTTGAGGAAGAGATATATGGTAGCAGAAATTCTCTACCGATGCACGCGAGAGGAAACAATGTCAGTTGGATGGGAAATAATAGTCGAATGTGAAAAGGGGGCAAAATTGACTGAGCTCTTTTAATATGTTCATCATAGCGATCATTTTATTGAAATGTAACGAAAAAAGATGATACTTAGATATATTTTTCATACTTATAGGATCTTTGTACTTTCATCGATATGAACGCTCCTTATCTCGATATTCTTTATAAATATTATTATCTACAAGACTTATTTTTCTTTAAGCAACTTCATATTTGCATGTTTGTACTATTCACCATTCTCCATATACAAAGGCGGTCCAATAGCTACTCAACCAAAGTGGCGATTTATTTCTCAACGTAGTCTCCTGTTAGTTCGATGCACTTAACTTATGCTCCAACTTCTTTAACTGGTCCATAAAATGCGTTTTCTCTATGTCTGCAAAGACATAGAGAGGCCCCCTCCATGACGACGATGACCTCCTCATTCGATTTAAATTTCTGCCCGGTGAGTGACTTTTTTAAGTTTGACAACAAAACCAGTCGAACGAGGCCAAATCGTTCACTGATTTAAATGTTCCTTGGTCTGTGGTGTGTTCCAGTAGATACATGTATAGTCGAAACGACGCAAAAATTCCTTCGGATTGCTCTTAAACAGCTGAAACACGTCGCTTACTCTGGAATATCCTTACGGTTACCTTTGCGGAGTGAGCAAATGTGACTCCCATTACGCAGAGAGCTTTTCATGTCCAAAATATTATGTACGATATGACCCATGCGAACTTATGAGATGCCTTTTGTCTAAGCCTAGCTTCAATTCGCGGTCTGTCAATACGCGATCGTGAATTTTTGTCACTCTATCCTCTCTGGTAGCCGTAGCTAATCAAAAACGGACGTGCCACCACATTTGCACTCATTAAACCAATTTATGAAGGTCGCTATCGAAGGAGAAATATCACCATACACAGCATCTAAGCGCTCTTTACGCATCGATCGATATTGCTATCTATTTGAGTCTTATTCGGCTGAAATTTTGACATTAGCCGTCTACGAGAATGTACTACACAATAGTAAATTTCTCTTGCGATAGTGGCGCCATAAGGCAGTGAGGTTAAGTAATTATTGGACCGCCGTCGTATAAAGCACCCACAAAACGATATTAGCTACTTCCTCCAGTTCTATTTTTTTTTAATACAGGAATCACTACAGAATAATCTCAACAATTATCACACATTAAGGGAGCTCAGTTATTCAAAACCACTCATTTACTGCTCTTACTGAATAAACCTCGAAACACATCGAATAATGAAGCGTTTACTAAAAGTGTTCAATATTCCTCCAGTGTGTTCGTAATCATATATTTGGAATTAGTTTCTTAAATAAGGCAACCATATTTCATTTTTAACCTTTTTCTTATCTATTATTATTTTTTTTGCGTATTCGTTCTTTTATTTTTCTGAATTGAATGAATTCTGAGAATTGTTCTATTTATGTTCTCCTATTTTTAATTCCTTGCTTCCTTTTTATATTCATTAAAATCTGTCACTTATATTAATAAATTGTTTATAATGTTGCCTATATTTATCGAAATCAAGAACTATTTTGTACATATTCTTAAAAAAAGTACTTAAACTCTTATATATACTCATATTTCTAGTTTTCAGTAAATATCTAACAGTTCATTTCATTTTAACTAAATCTTGTTACATTATTTATTATTTTTGATTTACTGCCAACGAATAATACTCAAAATCTTTTTTATATTATTTTATGTAAATATTTCCCTAATTCTTATGTACATATTGCCTTTTTGTGTAATATTTGTTTAAAATATTATATATGAGTATGTTTGTTTCCTTGGAAAGGATCTAGCTAAATCTGCTGTTATGTTTCATGCTAATACCATATGACACGAGCATAGGTTTGACAGATATTCTTATTTACCAACCATTGAGCAAAAAGACAAAAGAGGAAATCTAATCGTATGAAAAGCAGACCAAAATTCAGCAAATGGAAATGCGAAGGCGCCAAATTTAAATTTTCCGACACTTATTAACAGTAGCTAAAAAATATTTTTCAGAATGTGTCTTAGACGAGAAAGTTTTAATTAAATATTAACGATCATAGTCTAAATTGTGACACAATTGTTAAAAAACTTCAATATAAATAAGATTTCATGTTACAGTTGGGACAAACAATAACATAACCCAACTAAATTTGATTTATTACTCAAGGAAAGAGACTCTCTTTCCTCGTTTAATGTGGCCTCTCAAAATGGGACTTTCCGTCTAACAATATTTTTGTTTTTTTACTCGATGTTACCAACTGACAGAAAAATGTTCTAGATCAATTAAATACTAGGTACAACATTTTCAAGAGTTTCAATGAAGGGTGCTCTCAAAGTGTTATAGCTACAGAAATACAGCCTAGTACGTGGTAAAACTGATATCTAAAAATCAATCTCTACATATATTTTTCAGCTAGTTTCTTCTCAATACTTATATATCTGTTTCCGACGATAACGATTCCTACCAACTGGGATTACGCAGTTGATAGCAATAATAGATCTCGTGAATCTCCTCTATATTTCCCTTCTCCAAAGGAGATTTTTGCTTGATGTTTTTCCTTTGAATTATATACCTACATTATTTAGATTATATGCCTTTATATAACCGTTTCTATCGCTACTACCTTAATTATTGATCCTTTGACTTTCTTTTCAAGTTTCTGACATTATTGGAATAAACTCTCAGAAATGTGTTGAGTCTTTTGTGTACAGTTTAGCTTGAAATTATGATGTGTAATTTTGTTCGCAAATCATAAATAAATTTATTTATTTTCTTCTTACTACCCTATTCCTATGGTCTTAGCGTCTTGTATTTTACGATACTTTGTAGAATTTACATCAACTGTAATTAATGATAACTTCACTTCCAGATAGGTATAAATATAATAAGTATAGCAAGATTGTAGTATCCTGGATCCTTTCCATAAGAAGTTATACAAATAAGACTTAATTTTGCTAGCTCAACTTCTTTTAGGCATAAAAATTATACGATTTTTATTATTTAAGTTATATTTATATATTTTTATAATAATGTGATATCAATTAAATAGGTTGAATAAATACTCTGGCAGTTTCTTTTACCACACAGGGCCTATTTTTATAAACTACTGGTAAAACTGAAAAACAAATCAAGTTTAAATTATTATATACCACTATTAGCAAGTCAATAAAGCACTTTGGGCCAAAAACCCTAGAGTGGCTCCCACAGCCAACAGCTAACTGTTGCGTCCATACATTCCAAATCCCCAAAATCTGGAGGAAAGTTAGAGTGGTGGCCCCAGCTAGTGGAGTTTAGACCCGGAAAATGCTGCTGCAGTCAAACTCTTAATCTCACCCAACATATTGAAGATGGGTTTAAATAGAAAGAAATAAGAGGAGAAGTGTTCATCGACCTGACTGCCTCCTATGACACAGTTAACCATCAACGGCTGCTAGTCAATCTATGAAATTACAAAGGATTTCCGACTAACAAGGTTAATGAAATGTTTGATGGATTCGACCGTTATTTACAATAGAAACAGAACAAAATCAATCCATAAAATTTTTAGATTTAAAAATTAGCAGACTTCAAAACAAACATGACTTCTCCATATTTCATAAACCTACCCATACTAACACGACTATACACAATTCGTCATCCCATCGAACACAACATAAACTGGCAGCTTATCATAGTATTTTACATAGATTAACAGAAATTCCGATGTCAAAATACAACTTTGAGACAGAATTAAATATAATTAAGCAGATAGCAGTAAACAACGGATACAACGAACAAACAATTAATAAAATGTTAAATCAAAAACTACACAAGAAAGCCCTGAAATTAGTATTTCCACCACCAGAGAAAAAACCCAGTACCTTCTGCTCGATTACATATACAGGCAAAATAACAACAAAAATTGCCAAGCACATAAAAAAGAAAGGAATAACACCAGCTTTCCGAACAAATAACAACCTAGGCAAATATATTAAAAATAACAAGAGCCAAAATAAAAACACTTAAATAGTGGTGTGTACAAACTTTAATGTGGCGACTGCCCAAAAACTTACATCGGTCAAACTGGTAGAAACTTTGATAAACGAATAGCAGAACATAAAAGGGCTTTCAAGAATAGAAAAACAGATTCGACATATGCACTTCACCTTCTAGATCATAATCATTCTTTTAATGACAAATTTAAAATTCTTCACATTCAAAATAAAGGCCTTCAGCTATCTTTGTTAGAATCTATGGAAATCAACAAATTAAAAAACACAGATATAATTCTGAATGACCAACTTGAGACAAACAGTTCTCCCCTCCTCAACCTATTTCATTAGAGACTATAAATTTGTAAACCCAAGCCAAAATAGATCACTTGAGAAAGGCAATTAGCCGAAACAGCTGTAGTGATAATATTTAAAATAAATTTTGTGGAAGTTTGAAAACAAAGTTTTCAGTGTTTTATTGTTACATTAATGAAATGTCTTCTCCAGAATAATATTAACTCACCGAACAATTGGAAACAGCCAGGCCAAGCATCAATAGATTGGTACAAATGATTTCGAAAACGGCATCCAAATTTGAGCCTACGAACCTCCGAAGGTTGTAGTTGAACTAGGGCAGCAGGATTTAATCCTGCTAATGTAAAATTATTTTTTGGAAAACTAGAAATGTTTTAAGAAGGCACAAAAATTTCTCAAATATTCTGAGAATTTATAAGTTAGATGAAACGGGGACTTTGACAGTCGCAAACAGTTCAGCTAAGGTTCTAGTCCAAAGGTCGTCAAGCAAGTTTCGACAAGTCAAAGTGGTGAACGAGGAACATTAGTTACAAAGTGCTGCATCGCAAACCCATGGTAGTGCAGTGCCACCTGTGATGGTATTTCCACGGATGCATTTTAAAAGTCATATGTGGATAGGAACTCCTCCGGGCACCGTAGGACTGGCTACGAAAACCAGCTGGATGAACACGCACTCATAGAAAAGGGACAAAAAGTAACATCTCCTAAATATAACCTAGAAAGCTTAAAAGAAGATTCAACAAAATTTCTTTACAAATTACGATTGGCCACAAAATTACAAAATGTGGATCGAGAAAATATAACAGCGGAAGAATTATACCAACAACTTAAAAAGTACATTCATGAGGCTGCAAGTGAAGCTTTGGGGTATAAAGACAAACATGAAACAAAAAATCAAGAATGGTGGTCGGAGAATATGCAAACGTTAGTAAACAAGAAGAAAACTGCTTATCAGAAATGGATGTCAACGAGAAAGGAGGAAGATCACAAGGTATATACGAAATTAAATCGAGATGTAAAAAGAGAAGTAGTGAAAAGTAAAAATGAGATGTGGGATCGAAGATGTGCAGAGGTGGATAGGTATATGGGTGGAACAAGAGTTGGGCAAGCGTGGAAGGTGATAAAGTCTCTCCGGAGGGAAGGAAAGGAAAAATCTAACTTAAAATTAATAGATCTGAAACAGTGGAAACAGCATTATGAGGTCTTATTGACAGAGGATAGACGTAAATTCCAAGATATCGAAATGGAAGAAATATCTGAACATACACAAATAATTGAGATAACAACCGGAGAGTTAAGCGATGCCCTCAAAAGATCGAAAAACGGTAAAGCAGCAGGACCTGGAGACATCCCAATTGAGTTGGTAAAGTATGGACCAAAAATATTACACGAGATGATGGTTAAACTATTTAATAAATGCTTAAAAGGACAAAATATCCCTGATGATTGGAATGTTGGATACATCAGCTCAATATACAAAAAAGGGGATAAACGCAATTGCTCTAATTATAGAGGAATAACTGTTACTAGCTCAGTTGGGAGGTTGTACGATCGAATAATAAAAAAACGAATTGAATCAGAATATGAAGACATAGAGGAACAAAATGGATTTCGGGCAGGAAGATCGTGCATTGATAATATATTCATTCTGCAGCAGGTAATCGAAAAACGGAAGGCAAGGAATCTATCTACCCACCTATTGTTTGTAGATTTAGAGAAGGCATATGATACGGTACCTTTGAAAAAACTATTTTATACATTGACGAAAGTAGGTCTCAGTAGAGAGTATGTGGATGTTATCGCAAATATATACAAAAATGCAAGAAGTGTCGTTAAAGAAGGAAACATTATATCTGAATCATTTCCAATAACCAAGGGGCTTAAACAAGGATGTTGTCTGTCTCCGACCCTGTTTAAAATATATATTCAATCATCGCTAGAGCAGTGGAGAAAACAAGTATCCGGAATGGGAATAGACATAGGCGGTGGTGAATGTCTAACAGCTTTATTTTTCGCAGATGATCAGGTAGTCGTAACGAATGACGAGGAAGACATGGACTACATGTTTAGAAAACTAAAGAAAGAATATGAAAAATGGGGCCTCAATATGAATATGGCAAAGACAGAGTATCTTAAAATAGGAGATGGTGAAGAAGATCCAGAGTTAGAAATTAGAAACACAAAAACATGCAATGAATATAAATATCTCGGATCTATAATATCTAAAGAAGGCACTACCAAAAGAGACATCGAAAACAGAACACAGCAGGGAAAAAAAGTGGTAAACATTCTAAACTCTCTACTTTGGTCTAAAGATATTAGACAAGAAACGAAATTGACAATCTATCGAACCTTGGTAGAGCCTATTATGACTTATGGGGCAGAGGTTTGGCAGATAACGCAGAAGGATAGAAAAAGAATAGAAGTAGTAGAAATGGATTTTCTAAGGAGAGCGTGTGGTATATCCAAAAAAGATCACATCAGGAATGAAGATATTAGAAGGAGGACAAATACTGTATATTCCAGTGTAGATAGAATTGAAACGAGACAACTAGTGTGGTATGGTCACGTGAAACGAATGAATGAAGATAGATGGCCAAAGAAAGCTTTAAATTACATACCACAACAAAGAAAAAGAAGGGGAAGGCCTTCAGTTGCCTGGGAAGAAAATGTACGGCATATAATGAGAGATAGAGCCATCAGAGAAGACGAATGGATGGACAGAAAACGATGGCGGTCGAAATACGAGAAACGGCAGAGGCTGTAGGAACCTCGCTTATATATATATATATATATATATATATATATATATATATATATATATATATATATATATATATATATATATAATATATATATATATATATATATATGAACACGCACTGCTTGATAAAAGTATTGAAGCATTTTATCAAACATACCTAAGTTCAAAAGAAAACCCTTCGCTAGTAATAATGGACAATCATGAGAGTCACATCTCAACAGAAGGAATTAATTTGAGCAAAGAGAGTGGTGTTACAATCCTGACTGTTCCTCCTCATTGTACACACAAATTACAGCCGCTTGATGTAGGTCTTCTAAAACCTTTTCATATCTTTTACAATGACGCCTTACGTTCGTGGCATAAAGCTAATCCAGCAACTATATATGTGGCATCATTTGTAGGAGTGACCTATCCCCGAGCAATGACTCCAGTAAACATAGCTGCAGCTTTCAAGAAGACAGGGATTTTTCCATTTGATCGGCATGTCTTTAACGAAGGAGATTTTCTCGGGAGTCATGTGACGGATAGACCATCTCTACTAGTGAAATTCAGCTTCATCAATTTGACGAACAAAGGAAAAAGACACCAAAAAAGATATGAAACTACAATTTGTGAGTGCTGTGGAAATACGAAAATATCCAAAGAAAGCCAACATACCAAACAATACGCGAAACAAGAAGAAAGGGAAAGACAATAATCGCTAGAGATACACCAGAGAAAGACGAGCTATAAAAAATTAGAATAAACAAGACGGCGATTGAAACTGTTAAGGTAAATATATTGTTAAAGGTTAATGATTCGAAAGAGGAAACAATGATAGAATCTGATTCTTCTTCTTCAATTTTTTTAGTTCACGATTCATATAGTTCAATGGGCCTTGAAAATTCAGATGATAACGAAGATTTTACCAATTTAACAGTTGACCTACTCATAATTTCAAGGATCAAAGATTTCATATTGGTTAGACTTGATTACAATGCCAAAAATAAAACAGTGAAAAAGTATTTTGT